TATATATATTATTCATATATAGATTCTTCTGATAGTCAAAAGCTTATGGATTTAAAAGGCCATACCAGTATTCCAGCCGTTGTTGTGTACCAAGTCGATCGCGGGGGTACCTGGCCTGTTAGTGTACGAGTGTCGAGCACCATTCGAACCCGAGAAAGGGTATTTGACGCTGGATCATAGTGGTCCCCAGGTCCCGACGTTTCTCTTCTCATCGTGCTTTTTTTTTTAATTATAGAACTACGCAAACCCCGAACCGTAGGTTCGACCCAGGACGGGGTCGGCCATCTCCCTTGAAACTCTTTCTTATCAGCTAAAAGCTACGTAAACACGATGTGAAATTTCTTAACACGTTAAGTGACACTTGAAAATCTCTATTCTCCTTAGGATTACGTTAAAAAGGATTTCTCTGTCGAGGAACCGTACTACGTCTCTTTTTCTCGGGCATGATCGCCAAATACCAGTGAAACCGTCGATAGAGAATGCGGTCGGAAGTCCGTTTGGAAACTACAAATTATTCGCTAAAATAAAAAAAAAACAATAACCTAAAATAAAAAGAAGAACATCCCTTATCGCTATCATGTGATTATTCAAATGTTCCGGCGATTCATTCGTTTAACCTCTTTCAGCCATTTAAAACTCCGCACGGTTCTACACGCGGATAAACTATACGTACAGTAAATTCTCGATAACTGCGCGAAGAGGTGTCTACGCTAAATGCTTGCTGCTCCGTCCCCCGCTATCACAGTGTTCGACACTAGATTCTCGGCCCGAAATACAATTCCCGAAGTGACACAGACAATTCATGAAACGCAGAAATCCTCAACCTCTGCAATAATTGCTCCAAAGGGTTCCACGATCGTTAATCGAAACTTTACTGTACTTTGTACACCCAAACAAAAAAAAAAATCGACTGCGGTCGTCTTGTCATTACATGATTGCACGTCTATACAAACTTATATATCTCCACTATACCCCATAAAAAAAAAAATATATATATATACTATATATTGCAAAACAATAAATAAACGATACACAAAGACTTCCGATCGCACAGTCCAAGCCCAATAAGAAGCTGCACCAGTAAGCGCGCGATCTCCCAAAAGGACAAGTGTGAAACGAAACAAAAATATTTTACTCGACCACGTCCTCTCGTAGGGGGCAGATGGGTCCGAAATTTCTCGAATCCCTAATAACGGACCGGACGGAAACGCGTCCTCCGCGCGTTTCCCGATTACGGGGAGGGTGGGGGCGGGGAGGAGGGTCTGCAATCTAGCCCAGGATGTTTCTTCACTCCCTCGAATCGTCGACGGGGCTCTTGGCGTTCATGTGACACACGCTCATCTGGTATTCGGGCGGTATCCCAGCGCCCCCGGTGCTGTCGATGCTCTCGTTGTGGAAGTTCCGTAGATGTCTGATCAGGCTGCAACGTTGCGTGAACTTCCGGTTGCAGAAGATACAACAGAACTTCCGACGTACCCCGCACTCGAATCGCACGTGACGCACGAGATTCCCCTCGGTTACGTAGGAACGGGTGCAACGGGGACACTTCCATTTGCCGCTTGTGTTGCGTATCTTTCCGCACACGGTGCGACGATGACGGTTCAGCGTGAAGATGTGGGTGTAACCCTTGCCGCAGCTGGAACACATGTACGGTTTGTCGGTCTCGGGGATCCAAGCAGAATTGGCACCGTGGAACAGAAGCCTCGGATCCGCCGCGGAACAGCCCAAACCCGGATCGAACGGGGCCACGGCGTGGTTCGGCAGCTCGGTTGGCGGCAAACATGGCGGCGGAGGCGGTGGCGGCGGCGGAGGCGGCTTCAGGTACAACGCACGGTAGTCGGGCTTGTTCTCTGGAAAAAAAAAATAGAAAAATTTCACACGTTGGAGGGGGGAGCCGGGACGGGGAGGTTTCGAGAACCGGGAGAAAGTAGAGTGTTTATCGACAAGTCGGTTTTAATTGTAAAGAAGGTGCGGGGGATATACAGTAGCTGAGAAAAAAGTTACCATTTTCACGATTTTGTTCTTTTTGTTAGTTTCATTATTTTTTAACGTCAACTTGAAACTTTTGTACGTGTTTAATATATATGGTAACTGATAGAGAATTAAAGTAAGAGTATACTAAATATACCCATTATATTCCGAGGTTTTAAGTTGGCGGTAAGAAATAATAGAGATATTGAAGAATCAGAAAACTTGGAACTTTTTTGTAAGTTACTGTATGTATATGTGCAACAAAAAAAAGAAGTGGATAATAATGTATATGTGGTGAAACTACGAAAATCAAAGAGAAGGGAACAATCGAGAAACAGAAAAGAAGGAATTCTTTTTTGTTTTTTCTTTAATCTTTGAAACGATCGTTCTCTTTCTCCGTGGAATTGAAAAAAAAAATAATCGAAAGGGTGACAAGTTCGTTCCGATCATCGACCACGTTACGGAATCGATTGTCTGTTTTTTTTTTAAGGGGGTAAATAGTTGGTTGTATGTATATACGTACTTGTACATAGGAACGGTACGCAAGATGACGTATCGTCGACGTGAGCTGATCGTCGACAAGGAATGTACACATCGCAATACGAGAATGTCGTTCTTCGTGTGAAGTGAAAAAGAGAATTGAAAAAAAAATCAAATAATTGCCAAGCTTGAGATCGTGAACAGGCTGTATATCGCCGCAGACTCGAGTGAATAAATAAAATTCGCATAAAAGGCTCTGTGCGTAATTCGTATCGAATGCGAAATAAAAATGAAAAAAAAAAAAAAAAAAAAAAAAAAAAAAAAATGAATAATCGTATATATAAAAACAAAACGTTGATCTTCAAAGGTGGAAGACGAAGTGTGATCGTCGTGTGAGGTAACGGTTGATTACGTTTCTGATTGTCGGGGTATTCGCCGGTATCGTTACAACTAAATGTACGTTCCAACTTTATTATATTTCTCATTTTACTGTCGGCTAGACACTAGGTGGCACAGTCCGATGGTATATTTTGTTTCTTTCAAAACGTCTAACTACCAACAGCCAGCTCTAAGCGGCGATTCAAGTGGATTAAATCCTCGGAAAAACAGCGTTACAATTACAATTTTCGTTACGACACTGATTATTTACGTTCGGTGGACGCGAATCTCGTCGTTAACGAGAAGCAAAACTAAACTATAATGACAATCCCGCGCGAGAAAAGGCTAATTTTGCATGCAAGTTCTTCGCCTCTGTGTGTGTATGTCCATGAACAAAACCGGGGGTTCACTGATCTTCCGCGGACGATTCTTCGGATCTTCGTCGATGAGAAACGTGGACGTCGGATCTTGCGTGATGAAAATCTTCAACCTTGTGATCTTCGAGCAGCGTGACGGTATCTTCGGTGACGTGCTGACGCTTGATCATAGTATCTTCCGTGAGCATTGTTTCTTCGGCGGACAATAGACATTGTGGACCTTGAACATGTGACGCCGTAGGTTCACGTTCTGGGTGTAACTGGCACCGCACAGGTCGCAGCCGAAATTCCTGCGGCCGCCGCACTCGTACTTGAGGTGTTTGGTGAGACTCTGACGGATCTTGTAGCCACGTCCGCACTGGGCGCACTTGAGCGGCAGATCTTCGTCCCTGTGGTAATAATACGCGTGTCTCGATTTACGATGGATGGACAGCGGGGGCAGCGGGTTCAGGACGACACCTAAAAGAACATCAACACCAGAGTCGCGTTAATTCACGGGATTCGGTGGGTATCGACGTGGGTTCTTTCGCCGCCAGAGGGCTGGTGGACCACCCTCGTGTGGCGTTTTATCGTTTTCTATTTTTCGTTTGTTATCGTATTCTCGCGCCGACCCATTAGACCGAAAGCATCATCAGTGACACCCGGTTATCCTGGCTACAAACGGGTAGAATTCTGGAAATTAGACTAGCTTGGGATAGCATTGTAAACGATATCAGACGAGATACTCGGTTTAGGTGGAGGACGATATACATGTATAGGCTTATATAGAAACAGCATACGGTTAGAGGATAGTGGGCATTGGGGGGAGAACAGACGTTACAAAGAGAAGCTAGAAGCGAGACAGTGACCTGCACGGGAAGATAAATGGGGAATAGAACCTGGTGTTTTTTTTTTTTTTTTTTTTGTTTCCAGCTAAACTGGATATTAGCACTGATTTTTTCTGTCCTAGAGACGCCTCTTGGAAGCTGTCCCATAGGACATTAGGGATAAAGGGATAGTAACGCGGGGGTATTTATAACATGATGCTAGGCTCCAATCCGTTGACCACGTCGATCTTATGGATCGCCGTCAGGTGACGCTGCAGACTCGTCTTCTGGGTAAAACTGTAGCTGCAGTAGTAACAAGGAAACTGACGTTTGCCGCCGCATTCCCATTTCATGTGTCGCCTCAGATTGCAGAGCATCGTGTACCCGCGGCCGCACTGCAGACAGGTGAACCGGGGCCTCGGGAAACCTGTTCAAACCGAAAGAAAAAGAAATCGACCGTCAATGGATTGTCTGCATGACGGAATGGGGAGAGGATGGTAACACATAGTTTCTTTTTTTTCTTTCCCGAAATCGACGAAACATTCTCGTTAAGTTCGACGGTAAACGTGTCTGTCCACGGGATTGTGTTTACTGTTTCTCTGCCGCATCTACAGCCACGTCTACTACCGCGTGTAACGGGATGAACGTTTTTCTTTTTTTCTTTGCCAGTCTCACATGGACATCGTTTTTGGAAATATCTTTTTTATTTTCGTTTCTCGAGAATATATTAAGGAGGTGAAAACGAGTTAATCGTAAAACTGGCAAATTGGAATTGTAACTAAGTGAGCTACCCAAAAAGCAGTGACTTACGTTTCACGTGCGACGAATGTTTTGCGTGTTCTTCCGTGATGACTGAATAAATCGTTTAAAACGAGAGGGTGGGTCTGTCTATGGGGGTACGTTCTACTTAGAATAAACAAGAGTGCATCGATCGACATACAGACATTCGTTAATCTTCCGTTCTAAAGAACACGGATTGTATCGTGACGAAAAAACCGGTTGTATTTACGTGGAAATAAATGGACAGCGGTTACCTCTGTCTGCGAATAATCGTTTATTCAGTTCTACACGAAGGACGTGAGATAGAGGGGGAGATGTTAGGGGGGGGGCGGTGTTATACGAGCAGAAAATATCACGTAGAAGTTTCGCTTAATTCTCGAAGTTCGCTAAACGATTACGGGATTTCGGCTGTCGTTTGAATTTCCGTCTCGGATACTGGACGATGTTATGGAACCGGAGAAGGTGTTTCTGTAGGGTGCCATTCTGCGTGTACTTCTTCGAGCAGAAAGCACAGGTGAATCTTCGTTGACCGCCGCACTCGTAACGCTCGTGCCTGATCAGATTGTGCTTGAGCGAGTATCTTCGTCCGCAGTTCGAGCACTGGAACTCACGGTCTTCGGGGACGTAGCGACTGATACTCGGCAACATGGTCTTCATGGCGGACGGAGCGTCAAACGGATAGCTCTCGTAGAGACCTGAAAGAAAAATAATCATACCTCGGTTAGTACTGATCACACGGTTATCCTTAAAACATTCGCTGATCTCGACGTGATTCATGAAAAACGTTTCGTTTCTTTGTATCGAACACTCCAACGAAGCTCACCTCTGTTTCTTCAATATTTACCAGAGAAGTTTGCCGATCGAGGAGCAACGAGTTAGTAGATATTGGAACGGGCCGCTTCTCATGAACGCTTGGTTCTTGTAAAAACGATTTATTTGTTACTCGGTAATTGCTGTCACAGTGATTCTTACAAGGAAGTCTCGAGCTACCGTATTCGACAGACATAAGTTTCTTTTAGATTTGTACCAGAGATTGCAAAAACAATTTATGTAGAAATTATTATCACGTCATCGTAGGTGGAACGAAAAAACGCATAATGTTTCCAAATGTAACATTCGAGGAAAGTACAGTAAATCATCGTTCAGTGCCCGAAGGCTCCTCAGCACCGAGTGGTGAGACGTCATCCCCACCACTGGGGGGTCCCCCGTGGAACCAGTCAAGCGCCCAGTGGTGGGGATGACGTCTGAACACTCGGTGCTGAGAAGCCTTCGAGCACTCATCGACGATTTACTATAATTAGGAAAACAAACTATTATCTTATTTCGGAGACGGAAGAGGGGGGTTGAGGACATCATGCAAATACAGATTCAACTTGCAACAAAAACCACTTTAAAAAACGGGGCTCGTATAAAATCGTATGATCCGTTGACTGATGATCAACATCAAAACTATTACAATGGGTGTTAAAGAACAGAAAAAAAAATACGTCTCTCTAAATTATAGTTCTAACTGTAAGCGGTTCTCATCCACGTTTTTCGCGGCGGAACGAAGATGTTGTGAGCGTTCAGCATATGCTGCCTGAGCTTCCCGTTTTGCGTGTATCTCGCCGGGCACACGGTGCACACAAAGTGTTTTTGTCCGCCGCACTCGAATCGCAAATGTTTCACCAGATTGTGCCTCATCTGATACGTTCGGCCGCACTGGTAGCAGGTGAACCCGTCCATGTTCGTGTAGCATCCGTACCTGGACCGTCTCGCCGGCTCTGAAAAAAACAACGAGAACGACAGATGAAGCGTCTGCTCCTCGACGTCGATCAGGTAGCATAGGGTACACTCGAGTGTGCAGCCTACGTGTCACTCGCCCGTCGGGAACGCAGTTCTACGCGATAATTGAAAGAGGATCTGGGAATCGTGTGCGTTCTTTATTGCACGTCGATCATTCGACAAGAATTATTACATCTCACGGTACATGTCTAGATTTTTCGGTCTGGAACGTAATCTTTCGTTTTCTTTCGATTAAAACACAGGACACACAAATCGAACACCATTTCAGCCTTTGCTCCTCTTCTAGAGCATCTCGACACAGATGTCTCCCATTACCATTAGATCGTTTATCGCCGAGTTCGCGTGAATTAGGTTGAAAAAGAAACAAAAATAAACTGAATTTCAGTGGACACTACCAGCCTGGTCGCTAATTCACCGCGCAAACCCGAATTGTAACCGTCACTTGCAACGTAGTTATACGTAAAGTAAATTGCAGGAGAACAACTTGGTTCTCCAGTCGAAATACTGTTAATAGTCAACAGGAATTATAAACTAAATCGGCAGTGAAAATATAAAAACAGACTTGACTATTTGTTTTACGATATTACGCCCCGTTATATGTATATCTCTGACGGAGCTAGCGCCATCGCCCCGAACGAAGCTAGCGCCATCTTCTCCTCGAACGAAACAAGATGGCGTGCGTCGAGGATTAACCATATAACGAGGGAATACCGTAAACTTGTCCCGGAATGAAACGTTCGATGAAGAAAACGATTGTCTTCAAGCAGCTTCGTTCTGCTTGCGTCCCGGCGTGAAAATACGTTTCGGTACGGAGAACTTTGGCGGCAAATAGACATTGTGCCGTTTCAACAAGTGTCGACGCAGCCCGATATTCTGCGTGTAGCTGGCCGGGCACATGTGGCACGCGAAGTGTCTCTGACCGCCGCACTCGAATTTCATATGTGTCGTCAAATTACGCTTCATCTTGTACGTTCGTCCGCACTGTGGGCATTTCATCGGCGTCTTCGGCGATCCTGTGTAACAAGTCCGTGTCACGTGGCTCCTGAACACGTGGCTCCTCCTGAATCCTAGAAAGAAAACGGAGATAACGTGTTAGAAAAAATCTGACCAGAACCTTTTTCTCAACCAAAACAGTTCAACGAACGAACACATCGGGTACACACAGGTTAGCTTCACTCTCTACCATCTGTAATTATTCTTTTTCTTTCTCCCCTGACAGATTGTCCTACGGACACAAATTCGGTTACATTCTGGTTAGTGATGTCTCTGGTTGGTTACTCAGTTTATTGCGTTCGAAGCGTATCGCTTCCAGGAGGTACAATAATTCGAGTCTTACAAGACGGGTACACACACACAGCAAACCGTATCTTTGGGGTGGGGAACTTTTTAAAAACTATCCGAAGATCGAAGATTAAAAACGATTTTTAAATATAGTCTCACTTGATTAGAGGTTCATTCGTCTAATATTGGCTAACCCTTTCAGTTTTAACTGAAAAACAAATGCCCGTTAAGATTGAACCGCAATCGTCGCAGGCGACACTCGTTCAGTAATCCTGAAGTAACGATCTAAAAGTACAACATACCCATACGTTTCATGCAACATGTACATATCACTACATACTTAACAACTTAACCTGCTAACACAACCTGAGAAAGTACGCTGTCCTTGGTGGATCTGATGGAACGTTTATATTGCTTCCTACCTTAGAAAGATTCGTTTTAAAATCACATCTCTTTAGCTGTATGCATGAACTCGTGTTCGATCGATTATTCGGTCAAAACGCATATAGTAACGGAATATATTTCCTAAAACCATAGTATCGTACCATGTACCCTAGTATATACCCTAGTATCGAATTTTCATCGAATCTACGCAAAATGCAATATTAATATTTAAAGGAGGACAGGGATTGCTCGCGGTAGGCAACGCTACGTTAAATCGAACGCTCTGCATATAAAGACAAAAAAGATCGGTATGTTCCTTATCACGTATGTCAATTTCACTGGTTATCGATGTATTGCCCCCAATGGTATCGCAAAAATTCAATGCTTGGTTCGAACGTGTCGATCGAGGTTGCTCTTCTGCGTGAATTTCAGATTGCAAATCGGACAGATGAACCTTGGTTCGACGCCGCACTCGTAGTGCCTGTGCCTCCACAGGGACGTGAAAACCGCGTACTCGCGATCGCAATCGGGACAGGCGTACTTCTTCTTCCTCCTTCTCTCGACGGATGTCTCCTGAACGGGCCTATCCGCCACGGTAGTCGATCGTTCAGCACACTCGAAGGTCCGATGTCGCGTCAACGAGGCCATCAACGAGAAATTACGGTTGCAGTCGGTGCACACGTACTTCCTGGGTGTCCACCGGTGAACCTTGCCCAGTCTGTCCCTCAGGGTCATCGATCGCAGATGCCTGGTATAAGCGGCGACCCGTGACGCTGAGGGCAACGCTGGTACCGTCCAGTTCGACGAGCTGTACCTGGTGGTGCCTGGAAACGAACGAAAGAAAGAGAATTGAGTCCTCTGGTTACACCCTTAAACATCATCATTCCGTAAATCCATGTGACCGGCAGTGTCCTCTGAAAAAAATAACAAGAAGCTTGACGGAAATCCCTAGGTAAATGCAGAGTATCTTTATTTACAATGAACAAATTGTTTACAACGAACATTCTTAACTCGTGAATACAATTTGAATCATAAATCAATCAGGCATGTTTGGGTAACACGGTACACTAACGAGCAAACTTGGCTTCCGCTGGGGGAAAGAGCGTTGTAGGGGAAGGGACTTCTGCCATGTGGTAAATTTATTTCAAGTATTGAAATAAATGTAACTCACGAAACCAAGTGGTACGAAGCCTATCTCTTAACTACTTTTTCTTCTAGTGGAAGCTGAGTTTGCTCGTGAGGGTACAGAAAATAACCAGAACGAAGAGACACTCTGGATACAGATAATGTCTTGTAGAGCCCTTCCTGTAGAAGGTGAGACGAAATGTAAGGGGTGTGTTTATTAAAAATTCCGCGATGAAATCGTGGCGCGAGGCGAACATGGTCCCATCGCTGGTCCCCAACTTGGATATCGAACGATCTACTGAGGACCGTACTGAGAGTTCTGATGGAAGAGGTTCTGATGCCTGCGTCGTATGTGCTTCATCAGGCTGCCCTTATACCTGGTCACGTGTGGGCAGAAAGTACACTTGAACTTCGGCTCGACACCGCACTCGAACGAGTGGTGTCTATTCAGGTGACGTTTGTACTTGTAGCTCTTGCCGCAGGTCATGCAGGTGTGCTTGAACGCCACCAAGCCGGGCGGGTACAGGTACGCTGAAACAGACAAGGGGATTGCTTGATTAGCACAGAATCGAAGACCTCGCACATTGAAACTCGATTCCCAGGATCAGATGTATTCTGGTCGATTTACAGATCGAAGGATCCCGAACGTTTCGACAGACAGGACCAAAGTAGAAGAAAATTCGTTCAGGTGGGGAGAATGAATCGTGGGAAGACAGTAGTTTCTGGTATGGAACATGACAGATTTTTATTGAGTCCGCGACAACTGGCTAAACTCACGGGGATTCACAATGGTGGGACGCTGGAGTACCACGCGCAAACGTGTTTTCCTCCCTTATAACCCTAACACGTTCAAGCTGAAGCAAGGTAATGCTTCAGAAATCGCTCGTCTGTTTAGGGTACCGCTACGAACGATTTTCGAGGCCTGGGACATTTTGGAATTAGACTACCACAATTTTATCTTTGTCTCTCTTTGCGTCAATCAGTCGATGAAAGTAGCAATTGAGATACACCAAGGGGGGAGGGGAAGGTAGAGTACTATGTGCGTTCCTGACGCTTCGAAGCGACGCCGAACGATGTTTCCAACGATTCGTCATTGACATATACAGGGTAGGGCAATAACTATGTCCACTTCGAATATTGCCGTTATTTGTAATAATATGAAAAAATGTTATATACAAAACTTACACGGTATAGAGGGGGGCATATTGTGACGGAAACATTTTCTGCGTGGGTGATGCCATAGAGATGACCCTGAAATCTCCTCTATGCATTCACGCAGAAAATGTTTGCGTCACAATATGCCCCCCTCTATACCGTGTAAGTTTTGTATATAACATTTTTTCATATTATTACAAATAACGGCGATATTCAAAGTGGACATAGTTATTGCCCCACCCTGTACAGTAAACTGAAGACCAAGAAATTCTTTTCACGAGCAAAAAACAAAATGGCGTCAATTCTTCACCGTCATTTTCTTTGCCCGCAATTACCTTCGTCGCCATCAAGTTAAGATCGAATCATCGATACATCGTTCGGAACTGTACAGTTACGACATCGAACGAGTAATTTTACGGGTGATCGTAACCCAGCGATATTTTCGTAGAACTTCTGGAATTCGAATAGTGAAATTAATCGCGAGATCAGGTTCGCTTCACGTCGGTCCGTCTACGTTTAACCCTAATTCGTTTTGCACCGATCACTTGAATAAACAAATTCACAATATGGGTTCTTCAATGATGTCGGTGATGCTGTCTGATGGGCGCTGTCCGCGGCGTGAAGCCCTGCCTGGCGTGCTTCATCATGTGCACCTGCAGGTACGACTTGTAGGTCGCTCTGTAAGGACAGAACGCGCACTGGTGCATCGGTTGTTTACCGCACTCGTTAATCACGTGTCTTCTGAGGTTCTTCATCTGATGGTAGCGTCGATCGCAGTTGTCGCAGGCGAAACGACCCTGTCCCCTGGATCGTCTCCGATCCTCGGACACCCCTCTCATATAGTACCTCATTTTCGCGTACCCTGGAACCAATAAAGAACAAAGATATCCCGGTTAATATGAGCCAGTCATCGCCTGGAACCGTCGTTCCTCTCTCTGTGGATCAAAATCGTCTCTCAGAGAGCTGGCTATCTAAGCCTGTAAAACGTTTTTTTTTTTTCCTTCGTCTTATCTGGCGTTAACCGTGCCAGAAGGACAAGAAGGAAAGCGGTTTAATTGGGGAAATGATCATTCGTCTTGGTCTGAAAAGAAACAAACGGGGCACGAGAGGCTCTTGTGTGCGATCACATGCAGACGTTATGATAGACATTGAACGATGCCCGCAGTTCTCGAAATCGAAATGAACGTGTTGATGCTGATGCAGCCACGATGTTGTGTGAAGACAGTTAAGACATGACTCGCTTCGAGGGTGAACACGGTATGGAACAGGGTTGCGCAAGTGGCAGCATAGGGCAGAATTAAAGATCGCACGATCGTGTCGTTATGAAACATTCACCAGTGAAAAACAAATCCTTTTAATCACGAATCGTCTGGTGATGTTCTCCTGTTGAAAATTACTCCCAAACATGGGGAAAATTGCATAACGATAAAGATTTCCTCCATTCCAAGAATTCCTCCCATTATCCAATTTCCATCATGTTCGACCTCACTTCCACCAAGAAACCATTACCAGACAATTGGCGACATTTTTACAGTGTTACCGTGAAAAACACTGGAAATGAATTTCAATTGGCAAACGATTTGTTATGCAAGCTTGCATCATTGTCTGTAGTTACACATAGGATCCAATCCTTTCATAATAATCTGGACCGATCTGTCCCGTTCTCGAATTTCTGGATCGAGCTGTCTACCCAGAAGCGCAGAAGCCTGCCCAATGGAGCAACCAATTGCGCAACGCTGATGTAGAAGGTAAAAGGGTACAATTGTCCAAACTGCCCAGTGGCATTAAGTCGGTTATATTTTTCGATTGAACACTGTACATCAAACCCAACAATCGAGGACGTCGCGGGCTGTAACGGCGTACGGCGACCAATCACGGATAGGGAAGATTCGGATGAATGTTCATCACGTGCTTCGACACGCTCGCCCTGTACTTGCTGCGAAGATCGCAGTACGGGCACTTGTGGCCGGGCAGTTTTCCACACTCGACCACCAGATGACGTCTCAGCGATTTTTTCACCTTGTAACACCTGCCGCAACGGGGACACCCGTAACCCTGCGTGCAGACCAGCTTCGGCCACTGGCTCGCGATCCGCTGACTCGTCGATGGCCCGAACCATGCTGAAATCGATATCGAATGGTTAATTAGAGATACACGTGGACAGTGCTATAGAATCAAAAACGATTCAGATTATACAGGATGAGTCAGTAAGAACTACTATCTAAAATAATTCATTACCTATTAGTTGTATCAAAAAACGTTTTAATGATTATTAAGGGACATATCGGATGGATATAATTTGATTTCATTATATTTTATTTTGTTTTGGATATCAAGGTGACTTTGAGTTTTATCAAGGTCAATGTATCTTTTTTTAATACCATCATACTATAGGTCACTGAATTCGTCCTTTTATTTACAACAATGTGGTATTAGAAACAAATATGTATTGACCCTGAAAAGACTTAAGATCACCTTGACATCTTAAAAAGAATAAGATATACAAAATCAAATTGTATCCATCGGATGGACCCTTTTAAATGCTACATAATTCATTAAAACATTTTCAGATACAATCGTAACTAGTTATTTTAGATAGTAGTTCTTATTGACTCACCCTGTATAACGGAGATTCCCTGTTTTTTACTTCTGCGTATTTCGTTGGGAACAGAATGTTGCTGGGTATTGACTTAATGGTCAATGCAATAAAAAATGACTTTCAATCGAAAGAAAAATTATAATATTTTATAAGTAGTAATCTTGGAGTAGTAATCTTGGGAGACACGAGCCACTTTTTCGATGTCTTTCAAGGCTCCCTATTAAAGATAATAAATGCCCCTTCCTTCACAGAGGAGAAGTCTGAATTTCAAGGTATCATTTGTGTTCACTTTATTAAATAGGTACTATAATATTCATTTTATGTCCGGGTCAGACTGAAGCTTCGAATATATTTCGACACTTTACAAATGAAAAAGGAAAGAACACCTACCAACGGGACGAATCATGTGATTTTGTTATTTCGTTTAATCGCATTGCTGATGTGGTTTATTGTCGGTCCATGCTTGTGGAAGTGAATGGAATATATTGTTGATACGGATTTATTTGGCGAATAGAATCAACGTGGAAGACTTCTATTGTTCGTAATGTCTCTATGCACTTGGAGCTTTAGTCGATGATATTAACGAGCTCGGTTTGGCGCGCGACAATTAGTACGGGAATCAGGTAACGTTCTTAATACTTGTGCAAAAATCGAGAATGAATCGGTCAAACATCGTCCTCGATCTCTCGATTATTTGGAAAACTTAAATTCTAGTTGCACGCGAGTCTCTCACCGGCAAATATGTCTACGTATATGTATATAGAATATACAGGGTGAATCGTTCGCTGCTGGGGTCGAGAGGCAAGGCGCCTGCTTTATCGTTTAATGTGCCAACGGTAGCTTAACCCTGCTGAGTAGCCTATGTGTGTGATAGAGACAGAACGAAAACCGACACTCTCTCTATCTCCGTCAGACACATAGACTGCTCAGCAGGAGTAGCTAGCAACTTTTAAATGACCACACAGGCGACTTGCCTCTCGACCCTAGCAGCGAGTGATTCACCCTGTGTACGTGCTTCATTTGACGAGTCCAGTGAACGCGGATATGCAATCATATCGTCTGGTATCGTGTATGAGTAGTAAGATTTTGTAAAGTAATACTTCTAATTATACCAGTTATTACTTGTACTTTGGTATCACTGGTTGTTACTTTGGTATCACTAGTTATTACTTTGTTATCACTAGTAATACCGAAGTAATAACTAGTGATACAAAAGTAATAACTAGTATCATTGGAAGTATTACGTTACAAAATCTTACTATTCATTTCCATAAACGATACCAGACGACTGTATCCGAATGACAAGATCGAAACCATTACGTTGAAATTATTCTACTAATTACCATCAAGTTACAGCATTCTTTGCGTAACTCAGTAACATAGTACCACGTTCTCGAATAATAAAAAATATCAATTGTTTAAACGATGAACTTCTGGCCCTAAAATATCAAAGATGGCTATTTCGCGTTAAATTAATATACATTTGTAAATATACTTTCAATAAAAAGTATTTCTGAATTATATTACTAATAATAATGAATGAATATGATTGCATATCCGCGTTCACTGTACTCGCCAAATTGAGCACATATATGTGTACATCGCGTTCTAATCAACTCTGCTCGCTTCTACAGCGAATAAACTCTCACGATTACAATACTATGCAGGTGTACCTTTCGTATAATACGAGCAACGAGAGAGGGATTCGTGACGACCGTAGAATTTTCAAAGGAATAACCACTATACAAACATATAAAATTGTTAAATAAAATCTGTCAGTTTCTCATCGATCGAAAACTAAACTGGAGTCTCAGCCATAGCACATTAAAATTAATTCCTTAATCTTCACACGGTTGATCTACGTATGTAAGTGCATACAATTTTATTAACTTCCTCAGGGACGAATTTATTAAGATCGGAAAGAATTTTTTTTTATTCTTCCGCTGTATTTAATTAAAATATATTTACAAATATTAACGGCAATCAATTGGTAGGATATTCTTTCTTGTTGAGGAATTTCCTAGTGAAAATTGAATTACAGTTTCGGAATAATGCATTGAATAAAAGAAAAAATACACACACACACATGCCAGAAAGTTAAAGTTAAAAAAACAGAAAAAGGGTAAAGTGAAAATAAAATGAATTTATTTAATCTTCCCTGTTGCAAATTCTCCCGTAAACTGTCATAGCCGCCACGAGTCCCTCTCGTCGAAAAAGAAATTCCACCATCGTCACCCCCAAAAAACAGTTCGAACACTCGACACAGTTATACTGTTGCCTGTTGCACTTCACGGGATACAATCTGAACCCGTGCGTTAAAGGACAACGTCTGCATAACGTTCAAAACGTTCCGTAAAAATATAATATGCTATCGGCTACACCTCGAGACTTATACACTTCGTACCAGATCTACGAAACATTCTAATAAACGATGCGGTCGATGCGTAACAATGGTAACGTTCACGTGCGCGGCGAACAAAAAAGAAAAAACTAGTTTCCAGTGTCCATGGACGATGAAAGCTTGTTCCCGTTCGGCATCGTGTAGAATTCACTGAGCAGCTTCATGTGCCGTCCATTCAGATGGGTGTTAAGGCTGGATTTGTGCTTGGTCCTGTAAGGGCACAACGGACAATGGAATTTCGGCTCGACGCCGCACTCGTGCTTCAGGTGACGTGCCAGGCTGGAATAGTAATTGTAGACCTTGCCGCAGTTCTTGCACGGATAGGTGATCCTCTGGCAGCTCGGAAACCCTGCCAACTGTCTTCTGTCTGTAAAACAGGAAACCCAGAAGAGGTGGACATTAGAGACGATCGTTAGACCAACAGGACACTTCGACTCTCGGAACTGAGTTTCGCGCCACTCTGTCGCGAAATGTCCAAAAAAAAACTTTGTTCGAGCACAAAACGTATACTATAATTTCGAAACGGGACACGATTGTATATTTGTGATCATCGAGGCTGGGACCAATAGGAGATGATAAAAATAGACCGAAGACGAAAATACGATTTTCTTCCGCCCATTAGCTGCGAATCAGACCGTCTCCGTACTTGATCAAATTATGCACCCATTTTGAAGAATATTCTTTCGAGCACTGTTTTTATAATAAATAATATTTCATACTTCGAGAAGTTAAACACGAAAGGAAGATCACATTCTTGTTGGACGGATTTGGAAGTGGAATCTGTTGGAACTGTTTTTTTTTTCTGGTATGAAACTTGGAAGAATTGTTAGTTATTAACGAAAGTTGATGGTCCTGGAGGACT